TAGATAATCAACATACTTCCAGAAGTCAAAACTATTTGAAAAGGATACTCAGAAGTGTCACATTCGTGTGTCTCTGGTCCCATTCTTCCCATGTCCCTTGTAGCTAACCCACCTTCCTTCTCTGGTTTATTTGTCCTGTTTTCCTTTCTGTAAAGATAAGCAGACCTATGTATATATATATATTTTTTGTTGTTGTTGTTGTTGTTACCAAACTCGGGTCCTTGTGCTTGCAAGGCAAGCGGTGGAACCACTGAGCTAAATCCCCGGCCCTGCACTGTAAATTTATGTTCAACTTTCTGTGTAACTACTAAACAGTTTTTCAAAGTAGCTGCCCCGTTTCACATTTCCATTTTACATAGCTGAGAGACTGCTCAGTTATTCTGTTTCCTCATCAGCATTTATTAGTTTTTCCTTTTGATTATAGTCATTCCAGTAGGTTTGAAGTGATAACTCATTTTGGTTTTGGTTTGCATTTCCTTAATGACTAATAATGTCAAGCATCTTGTCATGTGTTTTAGTGATTATATATCTATCTTCTTTGGTGAAATATATATTCACATCTTTTCACTTTAAAATTAGATTATATATCTTTTATTATTGAATCTTGAGACATTTTAATATATTTACATTTATCACATATAATTTATAAATATTTTTATTCAAAATATTTTTCTGTGTAGCTTGTCTTTTCATTTTCTTAATGGTGTCTTTTTGTTTGTTTGTTTGTTTGTTTTTTGGGTTTTTTTGGTATCAGGGATTGAACTCAGGACCTTGTGCTTTCAAGGCAGGCGCTGGAACCACTGAGCTAAATCCCTGGCCCTTTAATGGTGTCTTTTAGAGCACAGATTTTTAATTAATTTATTTATTTTGGTACCGGGGATCGAACTCGGGTCCTTGCGCTTGCACAGCAGGTGGCGAAACCACAGAGCTAAATCCCCAGCCCTAAAGCACAGATTTTTAATTTTGATGATTCAATTTATCAATTTTTTTTTCTCTTGTGGGTCATGCTTTTGGTGTTATGTCTTAGAAAAGGAGTATATTAAAGCCACATTTATTAGCTGAGCATTGTGGTGTATGCTGATAACCCCAGAACTCTGGGAGACTGAGGCAGAAGGGTCACAAGTTCAAGCCCATGCTGGGAAAGTTAGTGACTTAGCAAGACTGTGTCTCAAAATGAAAGAGAAAAAAAGAGCTAGGAATGTAGCTCAGTGCAAAGATCTGGGTTCAGTCCCGAGTACCACAAAAACAATTTTTTTTCATAGCATTATGAGATTAGCTCTATTCCAAAATCTGGCAGTTAGACCCATTCATTGTGTGAGTTTTGCTGAAATGCATGCAGATTTGCTTCTGGTTAGTGGTCCTGTTCCAGCCTCCTTTGGGTAGCTGTTACCAGCAAGACGATATGTTGATCAAAAGTACAGGCTTTGGAACCCGTACTACTGTACTTGAGTTTGAATTTTTACTTTATTCCTTCCTAGCAATATTGCCTTAGGAGAGTGGCTTAATTTGTCAGTGCCTCAGTTTCCTCATCTGTAAAATATGGACATTATAGTCCTTTTCTAAGGTGGCATCTATGAAAAATGACTGTAGTGTGAATGTGACACAAGACTGTAATCCCAGTGCTCGGGCAGCTGAGACAGGAGGATTGAGAGTTTGAGGCCAGGCTGGCTTACATAGGGAGCTCTAGACCAGACTGACTACAATGCAAGACTCTGTCTTAAAAAAACAAAACAAAACCCTATATCAGAGTAAAGAGTCACAAAATATTAGCTGTTACCAAGGAACCAGTTCCTGTCTCCATCCTGGAGTCCCTGGGGGGCTCTGCATGCTTTTTCTAGAATGACAAGTTGTGCCATGGATTAGAGCAGCTGGGCTGATAAGCCTTGCACTTAGCCTTCCGTGACATTTTTAAGGGTTACATTTTTAAGGCCAATTGTTCTTTAAAATGACTCATTAAATGAGGCAATTTGTGTTGATATGTAGAATCACAAACCTCTTCATCAGATGTAAAAATAGCTCAAGCTCCATTAACACTTAGGAAGCGAATAATCTATTAACCACTGTTGCCAAGGCAAAAATTAGGCAGTAAGTTTTAGCCAAACCAACAACAGGATGCAAGCTATCTGCATTTGATAAATACATTTCTGTGCCTTAGGGGTGTTTTATTACACCCGGGATACAATTGTGGAGCTTGAAATTCAAAGATAGAATTCTTACTTTGCTCCTTTTTTCTTGCTTTCACTTCCAGAATGAGATTAATGAAGTTTGGGACTTACCTACCTTTAAAAGGGATTCACGATCTGAGTGTAGTATGAAGAATTTATAAAGAACTCTTACAATTCAGCAATAAGAAAACTTAAAAATGGGCAAAGAATTTAAATAGATATGTTTCCAAAAATAAACAAATGTTCAATGAATGCATAAAAAGATGTTCAGCATCATTGGTCACCATGGAATGCAATTCATAACCGAAGCACAGTAACTCTTCATACTCAGTAAGATGGCTGTAATAAAAAAAAGTTTTGCTTTTTTTTTTTTTTTGGTACTGGGGATCGAACTCGGGTCCTTGTGCTTGCGCAGCAGGCGGCGAAACCACTGAGCTAAATCCCTGGCCCAATAAAAAAAAGTTTAAAGAAATGAAAATAAATGTTGGTAAACATGCATAGAAGCAGGACCCTTCATGCATTGCCACTGTGATAGGAACACACAATAGTTCAACCAATGTGGAACGTGGTTTGGTGGCTCCTTAAAAACTTAAACCTAGGGCCAGGGATTTAGCTCAGTGGTTCCGCCGCCTTCCTTGCAAGCACAAGGTCCCAAGTTCCATCTCTGGTACCAAAAAAAACCCCAACTTAAACCCAGGGACTAGGGTGGAGCTCAGTGTAGAGCAGTAGAGCATGTGCTTAGTATGTGCAAGGCCTCGAGTTCAATCCCCAGCACCAAAAAAAAAAAAGAGAGAAGGTTAAAGAGGATTACCATGTGATCCAACATTTACACTCCTGGGTATATATCCAAAGAAACTGAGAGCATGCTTTAACACATACTTGTATACAAATGTTCAGAGCAACATTATTCATGACAGTCTTATAAACAAATTGTGTATATATGTACACTAGAATATTATTCAACCCTAGAAAGGAATGAAGTGTATGCAAAGTGTGATCAAAGCATATGGTGAATGTATAAATTAAAAAATTTTTATTACAGTAAGAGACACATTGCCATTTATCCCCCCTTGCTTCAAACACACTTGTCCCATTGTTCTTGCCACTTTTGAAGCAGCTCTGGAAGTTCTCTTTGTGAATGTCTTTAGTTGCACTATTATGGGTCCCTTGCTGTCCTAAATTGATTCAAAACAATTACCTTTCGTGGTCATTTTTACTTTAGGGAATAGCCAAAAGTCAAGTGCCAAATCTGGTGAATAAGATGGATGAGGACACGCCGTAATGTTTTTATGAGTCTGCCTTTCTGTTGGAGGGCATTAAGTAGCAGCATTCATCGTATTTTTGATCATACCTTGTAAAGACATTCCCCAAAGAGGACTTATAGTACTATTTCAGAAAGTGGCAAGACTGATGGAAAAGTGTAGTCAAAGTGAGGGGGAGTATTTTGAGCAGGATTGATAGCAATATGTCTTTTACTATCATAAAATTTAAAAAATTTAAATGCACCATTTTTTTTAATCAACCTATGTATGTACATATGTACAACTTGGATCAAACTGGAAAACATTATGCTGCTGGGCATGGTGGCACACACCTATAATCTCAGTACTCAGGAGCTTGAGGCAGGAGGATCATCACCAGTGTGAGGCTAGCCTGGGCTACAGAATGAGTTTAAGACCCTGTCTCAAAAAACCAACCCAAAAACATTATGCTAAATGAAAGCAGCCAGTTAAAAGGTCATATATTTTGGTATATGATTACTTTTCTATGCTCTGTCCAGAATAGGCAGATTCAAAGAGACAGGAAGCAAATTAGACATTACCAGGGGATGGGGAATGATTATTTATGCAGTGGCTATATAGTGTTTTTATGGTGTGATGAAAAGGTTTTGAAACTAAAGAGAGCTGGAACTTCACAACATTGTGAATATGCTAAATACCACTGAACTATATACTTTAAAGTGGTGAATTGTAGCTTAAATGAATTTCACCTCAGTTTAAAAAAAAAAAAAGAATTCATGAGTTATACACTGTTTAGCTTTTGTGTTTCCCAGAGACAAAGATATTAAAGTGCAAGGAATGATGATGCCAGAAAAGGATGACCATATTTGATGTGGCAACTCCATTGTCTGAATCTCTTTCCAGATTTTTCACTCATCTTGTTTGACAGAATTTATTCTTTATTTCATCTTTTTTTTTTTCTTTTTCAGTGCTGGGGATTGAACCTTAGGGTCTCACACATCCTAGGAAAGCACTGTGTCACTGAACTACGTTCCCAGCCCTTTTTTTTTTGAGACAGGATCATACTAAGTTGCCCAGGGACTCAAATTTATGAACCTCCTGCCTCAGCCTCCCAAATTGCTAGGATTGTAGGCTTGTACCACCAAGTTTGATGCAGAATTAATTAATTTATTTATTTTTGGTACCAGGGATCAAACTTGGGAACTTGCGCTTGGGAGGCAGGTGGAGGAACCACTGAACTAAATCCCCAGCCCCAGAATTTATTTTTAATGAAAATATTACACATGAAAAGATTAAAGTATCTGTAGCCCTTTAGATTTTTATTATATGTAATTTATTTTATAGTTAGGTCCTTAATCCATTTTGAATCGATTGTTATATATCATAGTGTACCACCTTCCTTCTTTTACATGTGGATATATTCACTTGTCCCAGCACAATTGTTGAAGAGACTGTTCTTTTCCTGAGTAGCCTTGTGCCTTGTGGAAAATCAGTTGGCCACATACATGTGGGCTTATGTCTGTGGCCTCCATTCTACTCTTGCCATTGCATTTGCATAGGCTGAGTTTCTTATTTCTCTCCCTTTTGATAACAGGATCGTGGAGTTGACAGCTCCGTTTTCCAAAATTCCAAAAAGCTTCACCTCACGATTGGGATGTTGGTGCTTCTAAGTGAGCAAGAGATCCAGCAGACTCGAGAGATGCTCCAGCGGTGTAAGGAGGAATTCATTAAGTGCGTGAGCTGACTTGAGACAGAAACGCTGGGGTGGGGAAAGGGGATCCACTCCGCCTGGCTTCTTTTTGGTATCACAGACTTAGTTTTGGACTAGGCAGCTGAATGACACAAGAACAAGGTTTGTTAATGTACACCCATTTGGAGTACTTAACATTGGACCATTGTCTGAAAGGTTGAAAGTGGATTTAAAGCATATATTTATAAATTTGTATGGGTTCTGCCCTAAATTGTATTTGTTTTGTAGACACATTTTATTCTTTTTTTTGTTTGTTTTGGTACTGGGGATCGAACTTGGGTCCTTGCGCTTGCACAGCAGGCGGCAAAACTACTGAGCTAAGTCCCTGGCCTGACACATTTTATTCTTAAACAGAACATCTCATCATTTTCTCCAAAATAATACATTACTACACACTTAGTGGCCTAACACAACACACTTTATTATCTGTGGGTTAGAAGACTTACATGGATTTCACTGGGCTAAGATCAAGATGTTGCCAGTGATCCTTCCTGGGGCACCCTGGAAAATCCATTTCTTTGCCTTAAACCCCAGCTTCTGGAGGCTGCCCACATTTCTTGGCTAGTAGCCCTTTCCCTCCTCCTTCAACACTAGCTACATGACATCTGTCTGACCCTTGTGTTGTCACATCTTCCTGTGGCCACAGCAGGAACAGTCTTTAAGGACTCGTGTGATCTGAATGAGCCAACCTGGGTCATCCAGGTAAATCCCCTGAATGAGTCTCCTTAACTAGAATTGCACCTGCAAGATATGCTAGATACATTCTTACAAATTCTAGAGGTCGTGAGTATCTGCCTGCCACGGTAACTCAAGCAGATAGCGTCATCCCCTGGGAAAATTTTCACTGTATTTCAGGAACACTTTCTTTTTTTTTATCTTTTAAGATGAGGTCTTACCGTATTATCCAGGCTGATCTTGAACTCACAGTTCTCCTGCATCAGCCTTCCAAGTAGCTGGGACTACAGAGATGTACCACAACACTTAGTCTTATTTTTCAATCTTTTTTTTTTTTTTTTTTTTGGTACCAGGTATCGAACTCAGGTCCTTGTGCTTGCGCAGCAGGTGGCAAAACCACTGAGCTAAATCCCTGGCCCTTAGTCTTATTTTTCTTTAAGCAAGGAATTTTATTTGAATCAGTAAGGATATCAGAAACTGACTGGGCAACATGGGGACAGAGGTATTATTCTTTTTTACTATAAAATTTTAATTTATACATGTATCTGATATCACAGCTTTATTTCAAAGAACCATATCTTCCACTTCCTTTACTTAAGATTAATGAAGAAATTTGAAAGCTGACTCACTGGTGTAGGTTTTTAAAAATTCCATTGTTGGCCGTGTGTGGTGGTACTCACTTGTAATCTCAGCACTAGGGAGGCTGAGGCAGGAGGAGTCTGTGAGTTCAAGGCCAGCCTGTGCTACATAGTGAGTTCAAGGCCAGCCTGAGCTCCTATCTCAAAAAAAAGAAAAAAATTCCATTGTTATATAGTATAGGTCCTGCACAATGGTTTTTTTTTTTTTTTTTAAAGACAGGGTCTCGCTATGTATTTCAGGCTGTCCATGAACACATCATGTAACCCAGGCTAGCCTTGAACTCATTGCAATCCTCCTGCTTTAGCCTCCAAGTGCTGGGATTACAGATGTGCATCACCACACCTGGCTGACAGGTCTTACACACTGCTAATATGGCTTTGTAGAAATAAGTTACTTTCTTACTGGATAGAGCAAGGCAAAATTTTTATCTAGTTATGTTGTACATGAAACTGTAATACAATCACTTTTTTTTTTTTTGGTACCAGGAATTGAACTCAGGTCCTTGTGCTTGGGAGGCAAGTGGCAGAACCACTAAGTCAAATCCCTGCCCCTTACAATGACTTTTGTTTGGTACTGGGGATCAAACTCAGGTCCTTGCGATTGCGCAGCGGGGGGCAAAACCACTGAGCTAAATCCCCGGCCCTACAATGACTTATTCTGGGCCCCATTATCCCTTTTTACTAATTGTTTCAAAGAAATGGTGTTTTTCTTGAGCAGAATCATAACCTGTTTGAGTTTTATTTTTTTTATTTTTTTTATTTTTTTTTGGTACTGGGGATCGAACTCGGGACCTTGTGCTTGCGAGGCAGGCACCAGAACCACTGAGCTAAATCCCCAGCCCACCTGTTTGAGTTTTACATTCTGCTTGTCTTTTCTGATCCGAGAAAGTAGAGAACCCTTCTTGTCATTTGCTCAGTGACGGGCATGCCTCTTTTCTCTCTCTTTTTTTTGGTACTGGGGATTGAACTCAGGTCTTTGAGCTTGTGCAGCAGGTGCCGGAACCACTGAGCTAAATCCCTGGCCCCTCTTTTCTCTTGATCTTACATAAATTCAAAAGAATTTGGTGCACATCATTGGATATTTGCAGTTTTCCTCTTATAAACTGAAACTTTATTCTTTATCTTACAAAGCAGAATAATTTTACCTGGTTAGAGTTCTGATACTTTAACATATTTCCAGTTCTCTTTTTGCTAAATTGAAAGCAGCTGCATTTTCTTGGTTGCCTTTGGGATAATCCTGCTACAGTTCAAAAGTAGATAAAATATTTGTTTAAAGAGGCATTTGTTCTTACCTTATGAAAATCAGGTCACAGGGTTCTAATCACTGGAGCTTTAGCCTGAGCTATGTAAAGATTTAGCTGAGTTTTCCTTTTTGTGTCTCTTGGTGCCTTTTGTGACTAAATGCCAAGACTGAGCCCTTAAGCATGTCAGAGTTGGAGTGCATGGGGAATAACGAACAGTCTTAATAGTTCCTAAGAATTTTTGACATGACAGGATGAAAACAGTAATTGTAGTTTTTCAAATTCAGCAAAGCTTTTGAAATAGGACAAAGTTACCCTGCCAAAAAATCTGCAGTGTGTGCAAAAATCTGTTTGAAGATGCTCTTTTCAGAACGCTGGAAAGACTTGAAATCAGTAAGTGAAATAAAGCAAGCCTCCTCCAACTCTTGCACTTGTTTATAAAATGTATAGTGTACCCAGGTGGCACACCCTGTAATCCCAGCACTCTGGAAGGCTGAGGCAGGAGGATATAGCCCAGCCTGGAAAAACTTAGCAAGAGCCTATCTCCAAAAGAGGGGCCAGGAGGGGTCGGGGATTTAGCTCAGTGGTTCCACCACCTGCCTCGCAAGCGCAAGGTCCCAAGTTCGATCCCCAGTACCAAAAAAAAGAGGGGGAGCAGGGGGCTGGGGGCTGAGATATACAGTGGCTCAGCGTGAAGGCCCTGGATTCAACCCTGTAGCTCCCCAGCCCTAGTGTTTAGTGCAAAATTAACTTACTTCTGAGGAAGATGAGAACCAGAATTGGTTATTTGGATTGGTTGGAGAAGACTTTTCTATTAGTGGAAGAGATGTCTCAAAAAAGAAAAAACAAGAGACATAGTACTTTTATTAAAGCCCTGGTAAGTAAATTGTATCATCTAACTTCTTTTTTTTGGGAACCGGGACTGGAACTCAGGGCCTTTTGCTTGCCAGGCAGGCACTGTGGCACTGAGCTACAACCCCAGCCTTCATCTAACTTCTTTGCTTATTCTTGCTCTTTGATCTCAACCTTTGCACTTGATGTACTACTGAGAATGAATGTCAATACATAATGGTATTCTTTTTTTTTTTTTTTTTTGGTACTGGGATCGAACTCAGGTCCTTGCGCTTGCGCAACAGGCGGCAGCACCACTGAGCTAAATCCTGGCCCCATAGTGGTATTCTAACCTCAACCTTTTATGATGTAAAGATCCTAAATTAAAATGTGGAAAGGAAAACACAGAATAAATTGGCCTGTACACAGTGTGAAGTACCTTAATTTGAGGGCATTTTAGATTAGTGTATTAAAATAAAAGTGGGGCTGGGCCTGTAACTCTGTTGGGAAAGCGGTTGCCCAGCAGGCACAAGACTGGGCTCATGCCTCAGCAATGCTAATTAATTATTATGAAATGAATTAACTGCATTATGTTGGAATTTGCTTAAAACTGCAATGCTATGTAGAGATTTAAAAGAAATGGGTAGGCCTGAGGATTTAGCTCAGTGGTTCCACCACCTGCCCCACAAGCACAAGGACCTGAGTGTGGTCCCCAGTACCAAAGAAAAGAAAAGAAATGGGTGGTTGAATGTTTTAAATTTCGGGGTCCTTTTTGAATGAGAGGGAGCTATCCAGCTGGAAACAGGGTTTTCATTTTAGTTCTTAGGCTGCAGGCTTCTGTAGCTCTATAGATTTTGAATGAATTATTCAGTGTTTAGTAAATGCTGAAGCTCTGAATGTGTCCCCTGTGACTTCTCTGCGAAATGTAGGACAGAGGCAGTGCTGTGACAAACACTCTGAACTTCTTTAGCTCCAGTGTCGCCCTGCCTGTGTCTGGGGTCCAGCCAGATATGTTTAAAAGGGACGAGAAAGAGGAGAGGAGAGGCGAAAAAATACCCATGAACAAATGTTTATTCCTAATCGCTGCTTCGGGTGTCACTTAGTTGGAAAGTGGCGTAGTTGGACCACCAAGGCAAAGAATACTCATCAGGCAAACCGAATGGGTTTCTCCCCTGCTCTTCCACCTCCCTTTTGATATTGTCTTAGGGTAGGTTGTGAGAATTTCTGTTTCTACTCATAGAGTAGTCTTTGGATCCCGTTACCTTATTTCTTTTTTTCTTGTTATTGGATCCTTAAATCTAAGGATTTAAGGTAGTTTATAGTAAAGACAGAATCAAAAGAAATATTAAAGTCAGGAGGCTGGAGTGTAGTGCCTCAGTGGCAGAGCACTTGGTTTGGCGGGCCTGAGGCCCTGGGTTGGATCTTGAACAAGAAACATGTCAATAAGTAAATAAATAAATGGGGTCGGGTGTCAGAAAACATACAGGTGGAATGGAGAGAAAATTTTACCTGAAAATCAAGGTAAGAACATTATTGTGCTGTAGTGTTAAAATTTGGTATTTTCTGTCACCATGATACTATTTGAACTAAATTCTTTTTTTTTTTTTGGTACCAGGGATTGAACTTCTTGGGACTTTGCGCTTGTGAGGCAGGGGGCGGAACCACTGAGCTAAATCCCTGGCCTTAATTGAACTAAATTCTAAAAAGAAAACACTGGTTTATTATAGTTCTTACCTGATAAAAAGCAATATAACCATTTTCATTTTTAGCCCATGAAAAAAAATTTTGGTTAATTTTAATGTAAAGAACAGAGTCAGAGCCAGGAGATGCACACCTCCTAGCATTTGGGAGGCTGAGGCAGAAGGATCACAAATTCAAGCCCAGCCAGGGCTACATAGTAAGTTCAAGGCCGGTCTGGACTACATAGTGAGACCCTGTTTCAAAACACAATCCCCCTTCCCAAAAGAATTTTGCTTCTTCAGCTGTGATTGATTATTGTCTTGGTTACTTTCTTGTTGCTGAGACACAATAGCTGACACCCACAATTTAAAGAAGGAGAGGTTGATTTTGGCTCATGGTTTGTAGAGCTTTCAGTCCATAGTTGGCTGGCTGAAGGCAGAGGGGCAGGCCAGAGGAGGCTTGCTCAGGGCAGGGCAGGCAGGAAGCAGTGAGAGATATCAAGGGAGAAGGGAGGAAGATGCATTAAGAGACCCACCTGTGCATGCCTGAGGCTTTGAAGACCTCTAGATAGAAACCATAACATTTATGTAGTTGAATTCATAACTTTCCCTAGAATGGGCTCCTAGAACTAGAATTCTTACGCAAAATGTTTTAGTTTTTTTTTTTTTTTGCGGTACTGGGGATCGAACTCAGGACCTTGCACTTGCGAGGCAGGCGCGGTGCCATTGAGCTAAATCCCCAGCCCTAGTTTTTATTAGTGTATGTTTGCAGTACTTAATGATTACCTTCCTCACAGGGAGTTGGTACAAGTACATAACACATCTCAATTCTTTTTTCATCCCTTTCCCCCTCCCCTTTTTGAAGGTTTTTCAAGAGACAGGTGGTGTTACTACTGAGCTACACCCCTGGCCCCATTGAAGGTTTTTCATAACTATTGCCGCATTGCTCCTACACATGCAATACCAGTATACACACTTACCATTGTTATGAGTGAAGGCTGTGTGTAACTTGTGGAAATAATGAAGGAAGAGACAGGCCCCTGAGAGACGGGCCAACAGTCAGTGTCTTTGCCAATCACAGCTCTCATCCCTCGGCTTTTTCTCTCAAGGTGCTAGTAAATGTATATTGAGATAAATAATAGTTTGACACTGGGAAACTTTTCCTGTGTTTTCCAGTTTTCTACATTGAATATTTATTAATTTTGAGATTAGGAGGACAGTTAGATAATGTTACTAGAAAAAACCTCACAACTTTGTTTTCATTAACCATATTTGAAAATATAATAGCCCTCTTAGTTTAAACAGTTTTAAGAGTCAAATGTATTTTCTTTTGCAGTGACATTGCAGGGGGCAAACCCCTGGAAGTGGAGATGGCAGGGATAGAATACATGAACGATGACCCTGGAATGGTGGATGTGCTTTACGCCAAAGTCCATATGAAAGATGGCTCCAACAGGTATATTTCTGGGATGTCCCTTTGTTTCAGTTGAGAGGTACCTGAAAGTATATCCTGGAATTCATTTTGATGCCTCTTCTTTAGGATCTTACTGTTTTTAAGAGTGTCTCTATTCTTTCTTCCTTCTTTTTTCTTTTTTAAAAGTAGGCTAGTATGATGAAAGAGGAATTTCTTATAGGAAAAAGTATCAGAATTTTAGTCTGAAAATGATTCAGTTACTTGGATAGTGGGTATTGATAGAAACAACCATGTTTTTGTGGAATTTGTCTTGTATGTTTTCCGGGATAATAGGAGGCAGGAAGGATGGCCTTTTAGGGTGGGAGGTTCAGATAGGACATATACAGTAAATGTAAGGACAATGTGGGGAGTGAAATTTTACCAATATTTTAGGATTATCAAGACTAAATTAATTGATATAAAATGTTTACAACCATGTTCAGCACATACTAACATCACCAAAACATGAAAAATGTTTGCTGTTTTTAATGTTTGTTCTTACCACAACTCCACCCTTTCTGAGGCTCCCAGTCTGTAGACCAGGCCATTTCTGGTTTTTTGGTTTTTTTACTGGGGATCGAACTCGGGACCTTGTGCTTGCGAGGCAGGCGCCGGAACCACTGAGCTACAGCCATTTGAGCTACCAGCCCGACCAGGCCATTTCTGAAGCGACCAGTTCCAGCTTCTACGTGAGGGCCACATGCCAGGTGGTTCAGGGCCTGCGCCGAGCACAGACATCCACCTTGAGTTGGAAATTTGCTTTCATGTGGTTTTTTATTTAGGGAAGGGTAGTACAGAGCTCACACTAAATCCTCTAGAGAAAATCTAGGCAGGCCACCAAACTTACTTGCTTTCCCACAGGATCTCTTAGAAGATTTCTGTTAATTTGAATTGATAATCTCAAATATCTCTTGCAATTCAGTTGGAACTAAATTTTGAGGAGAAGGGAAGAAAAATAGTGTTGAATGGTATAGAATCTATTTTTTTGTGTTCTGTACAGATTTTTTTTTTTTTTTGGTACCGGGGATCAAACTTAGGACCTTGCGCCTGTGAGGCAGGCAACAGAACCACTGAGCTAAATCCTGGCCCCCAGATTTTTTTCCATAGGTACCTAGCATGCGCCCAAAGGGCATAGTAATGACCCTTCCTTACAAACCGGAGAAGTGTTGCTGCTTAGCCTTAGATCATGTGGTAGAACATCCCACAACATTTCCACCAGACTGCATTCGATTTCTGTATGGACCCTCTACTCTGTTCTAAGTCAGAATTATCCAAACACCTTAACAGTATTGTAGATCTACTTACTGTGGATGTGGTAGATTACTTTTCAACTTGTGAATAGAAACAACTTTTTGTCTTATAATCTCTTGAAATTTTAAAAAATTATAAGAACTCCACAGAACTTTTTTTATGGGTTTTTATGGGTTATAGCTATCAGTATTTACTTGTCTTTTTTTTTTTTTTTTTGGTACCAGGGATCCAACTTGGGTCCTTGTGCTTGTGCAGCAGGTGGTGAAACCACTGAGCTAAATCCCTGGCCCAATATTTACTACTTTTTATTTTAATTTTTAAAATATTTACTATTTTAGAAATTAAAGCTGGGAAATTTAATATCTTAATTCCTTGGGTTTTTTTTGAGACAGAGTCTCGCTTGAACCCACTATGTAGCTCAGGCTGGCCTCAAACTCGCAGCAATCCTCCTGCTTCAGCCTCCTGAGTGCTGGGATTTTAGGCATGTACCACCATGTCCAGTGCCTCTTAATTCCTTTAAAAATAATAGAATAATAGTAATAAAATAATTTCTTGTTTTTATAAATAATATATTTCCCATAAACATTCCTCTATCACTCAAAACAAAAGAATGTAGTGAATAGGCATGTTTTACATTTTTGTAACTGTTTAATAGAAAAAAGCTGAGTTCTCATGTGTGTCTGCTTCAGCCTATTGCAATGTGTTGTTTTCACACACACACACACACACACACACACACACACACACACATGTAATCTGACTGGGAGTATACTTAGTAGCGGAGGAGCACTTGCCTCACACATGAGGCCATGAGTTTTTTGTTGTTTTTTTTTGTGCCGGGGATCGAACTCAGGTCCTTGTGCTTGCACAGCAGGGGGTGAAACCACTGAGCTAAATCCCTGGCCCGAGGCCATGAGTTTAATCCCCATACCATATACACAGACTCACACAGATATGTGGTTGGAAAAGTGAGCCATGAGTTAATAGTCTTTACAGATAATTGTGGCTAATTCATACTGCTCTAAAACTTGACAAGTTATAGTTTCTTAAAGGTTAGTTGCAATGTAGAATCTGAAACCATATCAGCGAACATTTTATACTTTGTTAGCGGTGAAATCTTTTGATCTTTCTTGCATTTTGCCTGAATCTTTAACACATGCTCAATTTTGCAACAGTGTTCTTTTAGAAAATAGTGGTTTGTTGAATTATGCAGATTCTCCAAATGTTGACACATTCTATTATACAGTATTAAAATATATGTTAATGTCTCTGCCAAAATCATAAAAATCTTTTAAGCACCAGGAAGCAGTTAAGCTCATATTGGCAGGTAAACATTTTCCAAATAATTTTCACCTAAGTTTGAATTTTATTGTTGGTAGAAAATACTAACAGTTATTTTCCCTGAAGTTCTTTTTTTTTTTTTTGGTACCAGGGATTGAACTCGGGTCCTTGCGCTTGTGGGGCAGGCGGTGGAACCACTGAGCTAGATCCCCGGGCCCATGAAGTTCTTTTTTGAGAAAATGTCTCCACACAGCCAAGTCTGAATCACCATACTTTATCTATCAGTTGTTCTTTTAAGTAAAAATGGTGCTCCATGGACCAATACTAGTTGAGCTCAGTTACAATTCAGAGAGCTCACACATACTCAGGTGTACAGACCAAGTGCTTCTTGTGGATGACCAAGTTCATCACACAGAGAATTAAAAGGAGGTGCACATAGGGGAAGAAATTTGATAGTTTGTTGTTTTTGTTGCTTTATCAGAGACAAATAAAACTGAACTTTTAAGACTCTGAATGTGTAGGGCCAGGGATTTAGCTCAGTGCTTTCACCACCTGCTGTGCAAGCGCAAGGACCAGAGTTCAATCCCCGGTACCAAAAAAAAAAAAAAGACTCTGAATGTGTAGTGAAGAATATACTAATACAGTTGTGCCACTGCTGTAATTCAAGCTAAGGCACCAGCATTTCATACACTATTATTTTTACACCATCAGTGTGAATGTCACTGCAGTGAAAAAGGCAAATAATGTTCCATGTATGTTGTCATTATTATTATTATTATTTTTTTTGGTGTCAGGGATCGAACTCGGGTCCTTGCGCTTGCGCAGCAGGTGGCGAGACCACTGAGCTAAATCCCCGACCTGTCATTATTACTATTATGATTTGCTAAGAATTAAATCTAGGGCTTTGTGCATGCTGAGCATGGGCTCTACCACTGAGATACTATCTTAGCCACTTTCCTACTACTGCTGGGATAAATACGTAACACCCACAACTTAAAGCAGAGGTTTCTTTTGGCCCAGTTTCAGTCCATGGGTGGCTGGCTGCAAGGCAGAAACAGGAAGGGAGAGGGGGTGGTGAAGGAAAAGGTGCTCAACCAATGAAGGCCAGGAAGCAGAGAGAGGAGGGAGGAAGCAGGGCCAAGCACAGCCTTTCTAGGACCCGCCCTAGTGACCACTGCCAACCAGGCCCCACCTCCTAGCAGCACATTCAGCTGTGAACTCTTCAGTGGATGATTCCACTGTTGAGTGCACCACCCCTATAATCTAGTCACTTTCCACACACAAGAGATTTTGGGGGGACATTTTAGATCTAAACCGTAATAGCTATATCCTCTAGTATTTTAGAAATAGTTTTAACCTCATGGATCCCCTAAAAGAGTCTGGGGGCCTTCAGAGGTCCATAGACCACACTGTGAGAACTTCGAGTTCAAATAAGATTTTACTTTTTTTGGTGGTGGGGACTGATTCAGGGTCTCACTGTGTAGTCCAGGCTGGCCTTGAACTCACTGTGTAGCCCAGGCTGGCCTCAAACTCAGGCGATCCTCCTGCCTCAGCCTGCTTAGTGCTGGGATTACAGGTGTGCACCATCACTCCAGGCAAGATTTTACTTCTAACATTTAAGATTGCATAGTTTCTGAGAAAATTATAATTTTTGTTTGTTTGTTTTTGTTTTTGGTACCGAGGATCAAACCCAGGACCTTACACTTTCGAGGCAGGGGCTGGAAGCACTGAGCTAAATCCCCGGCCCAAAATTACAACTTTTGGTTAGCACTTATTCTTGCCTGGTACTGGTTATTATCTCCACTAAATAGATATTATTATTATGCCCATTTTATAGATCAGGGAAGTGCAGAGATCTCAAGTACTTTGGCTGAGGAATATGTAGCAAAGCTGTGCCCCAAATCTGAGTATTTGTGTGTTCATATTAGGTTGAGTAGGATAGACTATGCTCTAGTTCTTTTTTTTTTTTTTTTTTGGTACCGGGGATCGAACTCGGGTCCTTCTGCTTGAAAGGCAGGCGGCGGAACCACTGAGCTAAATCCTCAGCCCCTCTAGTTCTTATTCCTAGTGTAAAGTGGAGATTTTGACTCACTATTTTTGGAAAGTATAAAATTGTCATAACAAAATTAATCATTTAAAAGTATATAAATATAAATGTATAGTTTTAAAGTATACAATTTTTTTTTTTTTTTTGGTACCGGGGATTGAACTCCGGACCATAAAGTATACAATTTAATGGCGTTTAGTAAACTAAAAAAACTGTGCAATCATCATCCTTGTGTCATTTAAGAACATTTTTATTACCCCAAGGAAAATCTCATATGTATTAAACACAGTTTCTCCCCACATCCCTCCCTTCCCTGACTTCTGGTGACCACTAGTCCCTGTCTCTATAAATTTGCCTATTCTGGTTATTTCCTATAAATGGAGTCATCAATATGTGGCCTTTTCATGTCTTTTCACTTAGCCTA